AATGAGGCAGCAAATTACATTTTTCTCGCCTGCAGAAACATCTGACCAGTATCAGTTTTCTTCCAACACCTCTTTAATCCATTATCCAATTTCCAACATTTTGAAATAAGAAACAAGAGATCACAGAAGTAATTACATTCCTACAGACTACATGAAAATTGATGGTCAGGTAGAGGAAAAACAACCAATTTGCAATTTTGGTGAGGAGGAAGTAGAAAAATTCACCCCTCGCATATTTGATTTGTCAGCGGTTCAATGAGTACAGAATGTCCACAACACTGTTTCTTGTTATGGAATACAGTGGGGTTAAAGACTGGAGGAAAAGAGATAAGGAGATAAAGAGACAATTGAAATACAGAGGAATGTAAATTTCATTATTTCTGCAGTTCACTGAAACTGACCCACAAACAGTAACTTGTTTTAATAGCCTTAAAAAATGAGAATAACATGGGCAAGTATTAAATTTATTGACCTCCTCCTATTAAGTGGGTTGCCTAGAAACACCTTACTTCAGAATGAATGGGGAAATGGATTACGTTCTCCTATCCGCATATTTCAAACATTTTGTAGAATTTATTTCATGAGATCTATGGAATACAAGTCTTTTCCCCATTCTGCTTTTACAGCATTGAGCACACTGTAGATACTCAATGAAGAGTAAAAAAAAGCTGATATGCAACAATAACAATAATACACTCTGAAAAAAGCCTCCATAGATAAATACAAACCTGTATAGAGCATGCAGAAGTGCTGGTGTGATGACTCAGCTGCTAATGTATTTCATTTACGTTCATTTTCTTAGCAGCAGCCTGAGGTTATTAATAACTCCCAGGATGCCACTTAGCACTGTGGATTCATTTTCCCGTTAATGGTAGCAATGGGTTCCTTGTTAATGGTTTTAAGATAATGCTGGATTTTACCATATGGTTGGGTTTGTACGAGGGTTTCTCATGAAAAGCCAGAGAGTGTAAGAAATTGTTGCTATATTTAACTTCAGTGTCCTCACATGCACAGCAGGCAATTGGAATGGACAGTGTTCCAGCATTCACAAGTGCAAAGGATGCTCGATATTTACTGCACGTTGTGTTTAAGAGGACTACAGGGACTTTAAACAAGAGAACATATGGATAGATCAGAGGGCGGGTAATGGAATGATGAGCTTTTCACCTCTGGGTCACTGGTTCAAAACTAAACTGGTTGGTAATGAAGGAAGCTATTACTATCCGACAGCTCTGGCTTTTACAAATTGATTTGTCAGGCTTAGTGCAGCTCTCACCAAACTCAAAACTCACCATTATAATTTGCACTCCTGCAAACAGTTTCACCCCAGCCAAGTAACTGAAACTTGAAAAGAGAGAGAAGTAACCTTTTTTCCTCTGGCCCCATCTCCAGAGCAGGGATTGCCAGAGGAACGGTGAAAATTACGCCGCCCACAACACAGCTCGTCATTCTATGGATAAAGACAACCTCTGCATCTCAGACACCTCTTTATGACAGTGTTAAGGGCTTTTAATACTGAAGAAGGCAAGGAAGAAGACACACCAACATGGATGCTTCGAAACTAAAATTTTAGTGTTGCGTAAAGATTTCTTTGGAAAAGAAATTTGGAAAAGAAACCTTTACTCAAAGATGTATTTCCTACGTCTAAAGATTACAAAGAAAATGGTCAGAGTGCTCTCTGAAAGGAACATCCCACCTTTAACATCCACTTTGTTATAATGCATTTGTAGCCAAAACATATAAACAACATTTGTAGGAACAACATGGACTTCAGTTTTTAAAGTATTTCTTCACAGCTTTGTTAGTAAATTTGCGGATTAGTCCAGAACAGTGCATAACTTTCCACATGCTTTCATAATTTGAAAAAAAAAAAAAACAAAAAAAAAAAACAAACAAAAAAAAACCTTTCAGCCTCAAAACCCTTCTTCCTTTGCCTCTTAATATTTTGACAACAGTCACAGCAAGTGCTCCGCAGGTTTACTGGATGGTAACTGCTACAGAGGTGAATAGACACAAAGTTTTAATGTAGCACCTTCATGATCACCTTTACTTCAAATATTTAGGGTATCACACAACAAAGTCTACTGGAATTTTTACAAATTTTTACAAAACATTACATGTACATTACATGTACATTAAAGACTGTAACAGAATACGCGCAGCTCACAGATCTTGTGAAGTGCTGAAAAATCAACATATGAAAGAGCCTCCTCTCTTCCTGGCAGCCTTCTCATTTTCTACTAAGTTGTTTCTAACATACTGAAGTTTTTCCTTCCTTTTTCCAACAACTCCAGAAACAGAATGTTTCCACTAACTTTAAGACAGCCACGAGAAGTTCACTTCCCAACTGAGTGCCTGCATCTAAATTCAGCAAGTTGAATATCCTGAGGTGGAAGGGACCCACAGCGATCATGAAGACGGCACGTGGTCCACTGCTACAAAATTAAAGTCACGTAACTAAGCGAGACCCTATTTCAGCTAAGCACTTCTCCCGTGTCCCACAGACGGCCTGGTGAGATCCCCCTAAGAATTTAATTTCATCAGGACACAGCACAAGAAATCCCACGCATCAAGTGATATAACACAGAGAAGAGATGGAAGTGGAATAAACTGCTTGCTCAACTTGCTTGTCAAGAGACCTACATGTTGTGTAATATAATTTAAAAACTGTCCAGGCTGCAGCCAAGAGATGTTTCTCATAGAAGTCTCACGCACAGGGTACAAGCCTTGGAAAGGAGGCTCCCTACAGATAAAGACCAGATTTTAAAGACTAAGCCTGTAATTTCACTTGCAGTTAAAAGGAACAATAGAGAGATTTTGTACAAAACAAATCAAAATTCCTTGACAGTCAGTAGCAAGATTCTTGCTGCTCCTCTCTGCCATGAAGTACTGCGTATCTTTGCCAAGAAATGAACTTGAGTGATGAAAACAAACAATAATGTTGGAAGGGTGACTGCAGCTGTTACTGATAAAAAGAAAGAAGTTAAAATGCCAAGTTTAGACAAAGGCAAGAAGTGGGATATCAGTGAACAAAAAAAAACGTTTGAATAAATGTGAGGGGAATATATGTTAGGAAACCGAAGAATGTTTAAGTAATTTACATTTCAGAATGTTACATGAAAAACTGAAACAACTAATAAGTTCTGCAAGTGTTAATAAGCATGTCCATTACAGGACACACTTTTATTCTTTATGAACAGTAAGTCATGCACACACAAAAAATGAATAGCTGTGGCTTTTTATTACTCTTTCATCCTCCTGCCTCAGTTTGCATTTGTATCACCTGCTGCACTTTGCATAGTTGCACTGCACATTATTTGGGACAGCAGTTCTTCCTATCGATGCTTATCCAGCTCTCAGATACAATGGAACCTAAATTCTGATTAGTGTGGATACAACCTATCTTTAAGTAATGCTGTTTATGAAGCGCCAAAAACTGAAAAATAAGAATACTTTCTCTTTTATGTACTCTTCATGAAAATTCACATAAGAAGGCTTACTGCCTAATAACAACATCAGGACTGGATAAAGAAGGATTTAAATTCCCATTACCCTTGTTTAATGAACTAGTGAGTACAGTACCAAAATAGACTATTAACCCAGAACAGGGAGAAGAACCAATATAATTTTACCTGCACTGACTGAAAGAGATGAACTGAAATGCTTTCACAGTCATCAGCAGTAAAATTTCTAAATTCTCTAAGATACCTCTAAGTTTGTACCGGACAAATGAAGCACACCCTCCTCCCATACCCCACCCCAAGATCCCTGTGGCTTCCTGACTGTCACCACAGAGCAGAGGAAGAAAACCCTCCTGTTTAGTTCTGCATGAACGATACGCAGCGTGCTTGATTAGACATACTCTCGATTAAGTGAAGGAACAGAATTTTAGGAGCAGCCTGTCTACTAAAAGTATTAGTATTTCCACCACTTTCTAAATAAGAATAGATTTTAAAGACTCATTTTTCTTTATTATTATTATTTTTTTTGAGTCCGTATTACATTTTTGGTCATCATTTTTAAAAGCTGTCACGTTCCAGTTACACATTAACTCAACAGACTTCTTCTCTGCACAGCAACGTTTTCCTTCCCAGAAATAAGCACGCTGCTCTACCTTGCTGTTGTTTCCCGAAACTGCAATTGAACTCCAGGTAAATTGCAGCACAAACCCTTTCAGCCTGAGATTTACGTCCCAAAGCCTGAAGAGCAGCGCGAACCCAGAGGGATTTGTTTTCCTTACAAACTTCATTATTTCCAACTGCATGGTTATTTTGCCCCGAATTTGGCACGCATGCTGTCTCCACGGACCGTAACAGGGAGAATTTGTTCCAAACCTCCCAAACCTCCGCGGGTCCCTGTCCCATGTGGCAGCAGCCCCGGTGCCAACAGGAGGTGTGTGCGCACCGGCAGGGCGCTAATCCCCGGTAATCCCCACCCATCCCCACCCCTAATCCTCCTGCCGAACCGAGGCTTTCAAACGCAATGAGATGCTGGAAAAGCGGAAAACTGCTGGTTTTAAAGAAAAAAAAAAAAACATCATACATACTTCGCCTTCCTCGGGCTGTGCTGCAGCGAGCAGGGCAGGGGAGCCGAGCGGCGCCTTCCAGCCGAGAGCCTCCCCGCCAGCCCGGGCTGTAGGGGCAGGCAGCCGCCGGTCAGCGGGGTGCCGATCTCCCCGGGAGCCGCCGTCCCCGGGGCTCCGCGGTACCCCCGAGGGGACGGGACAGGGGGAGGAGCAAGAAGCGGCGGCGAACCCCGCGTGTCTCCGAGCGGGGAACTCCCCGGGGAGCCGCTGAGGGGCGGTGAGCGGGACCCGGCGGCGGTCGGTCCCCACCTGGCGGCGGCCGCTCCCTACCTGGCGGCGCCGCGTCCCCGCCGCCAGCCGCCCTCCTCCCGCTGCTATAGCTACGGGCAGCCGCCGCGCCCGCGCTCTCGCGAGAGCCGCCATTTGCCTGCCACAGCCCCGGGCCGCGCCGCCGGCGGCCGCCTCCTCTCGCGAGAGCGCCGCGGGGCGGCGGGCAGCGGGCGCCTGCCCTCAGGACGGGGAGGCGGCCGCGGGTCCCCTCAGCGGGTCCCGTTCTGTCACGTCCGCTCCTGTCATGTCCAGGGCAGCCTGACCCTCGCAGCTGGGCCTTCAGCAGAACTCGCTGCATCGAGCTGCCCGGGCACAAACGCCTTTTTCTTGGTGGAGGGAAAATAAGCGTGCTCGCAGAGCGTGTGTAACCCCCAAGGGCTGCGGAGCGCCGTGTGTGAGCGCTGTGGGACGCGGCTCTGGCCGAAGGGAGCAGGCCGCAACGTCCAGTTACACCAAAAGTTTGGGTGTAGTCAGCACTAGAGCTGGATTTATTCACAGGTTAGAGCCCTAGCATCAGCAGCATCCATTCAAGTGATGTAAATTAGACTTTCACAAGGTCCGGGAGAATTTAAATAAGTTCTTGTATACATTTGTGGTTTGATTTTCTAAGTACTAGACAACGTGTAAGATTAATATTAAGCTCACATTCCCCAAATTGCATTGGCTGTGGTATGTGATTTTCCTGTTACCGCCACAGTGTACCAGTGAAATGCTGCCAGAGGCAGCAGTAGTTCCAGAGATACCCAAAAAATATATCAACCCCACTGGAGCAAGTTCATTTCCTATCAATTCAGGACTGTGTGTGTGAAGAGAGACTGAAAATGAGTGGACAGTCCCTGAACTGTCCACATTCCCACAAATAGTTGGTATCTCCATGCTAGTATTACACCCACCTGGATAAACTGTAATTAATTACTCAAAAAGAAGCATAAAGACATGAGGGCTAATGCACTTTATTCTGTGCTGTTGTATTTCAGTGCTCCCAAGGTCTCAGAGATGCTGTAACAGTCCTCAGAGCCATGCCACCAATTCTGTAAGTTCTGGAAGAAATTCTTTATAATGAGTTGCTGAGCCCCATTTTACATGTAAGAAGTGAGTTGATGCATAATGGTATATATTTAAAAGATTTATTTCTGTATGCCAGAATTTCCAACTTCAGGTAATTCATGTATACCTTCAATAGTGTACCAGGTGCATAAGGTATGCCTGGAGGACTGGAACTACTTTTTGTTCTTCACTTAGAGTGTACTAGAATGGTATGTACGGGTGTCTGCTATTGGTAACATGACATCTCTAGCACTACTGAAATAATACAAAAAATATTCATGCATTTGGAAAGATACTTGCTTATTTGTTGTGACTTTATACCCCATTTCAGTCTTTTGCTTTGGGAATCAAGCCAAGCATATTGGTAGAGAGAGCAACTAAGGAAGGCCTCAACCCTCTCTTGGGGACCAAAGATAATTAAGAGAAACATTTAGAGAGAGCAGATATAATGAAGCCCTGAATCCATGCTAGCTTCCAGCCCATTAAAATATGGCTGTTTTTATAATAGAATATGGAAGTAATTATTCATCTGAGCCAGGCACCGTGGAGTTAGACTAAAGCACTCTTCAGTGTAATTGAATTTGTACAGCATCTATGAGCAGGGGAGGTCCTGTGCGATATGGCCCACAGATTGTCCTTAGGCTGGCCAACAGGCAGTTTCTCATTTTTCTGTTCATCCTCCTTCCAGGGGCCACTTTGTTTTCCCTGTGGTGAGTGATGTATAATGAGATTGCTGCTCAAGGCAGGAACTTTCCCCAGTGAGAAGGGAAAGTCTGGAGAGTCCTTATTTACCCTTTTGTGTAGAGGGATGTTATGCAAAAAATGCTTTGCGGTACAAACAAAGCATTGCTTAGTGGGTAGCCTTTTTCATTCCTCAGTGCCCTCCATGTATTGTTTCTTCTCCCCAGCTCCAAATGTAGGGACCTGGAGTGAAAAAGCAGTGCTGCCCTTGGCTCATGTCTGCGCCAGGGAAGGGTTTAGACATTTATCAGCCTTTCATAATGTCATGCCTTCCCTGTTCAGATTTCCAAAAAATAAGCATTCCCAGTAAGTCCTGTTAGAAAAGCAAAGAAGAAAAACTCTTTTGGCTTAATGCTAAAATAATAACTTATAACCATAAATTGATCTCTCCTTATTTTACACATTTATTTGTTCACTGTGGACTTTTGAAAATGTTCATTATAACTTTGGCTGGAGCTATACCTCTAACCTTTTCTTGGTTTTAGAGGAGAGTGGTCATTGTCTGCAAATTTATCTGTGCCAATTCTCTCTGAAATTAGACCAGATGGAATTTGCTTTAAATTAAAAACAGATTTTTAAAACTAAAACTTTGCACATTTTTTTATAGTTAATCAGAACAAAAAAGAAAAACAGCCTGCATGTTTTCTTAAAAAAAAATAGAAAATACACATGTTAAGGTTTGATATGTAATAAGTAATGTTTCTAAAACATTTAATTGAAAATTAAAGGGAGAGTTTACATCTGAGATTTTTTTTAAATCTGACTGGAGTTTAGGTTGCCTTTAGAAGCATTCCTTCTGGGAGATTTATGTGGTTCTCTCCCCTTTGCTGCATATGTTAATTAGCACAATATATATCTGAGCAAGTACTTGGACTCATTAGAGCATCATTTATGGTCTACTGTAAGCAGGAGATGAACATCAGAGAGAAGATGACAATCCCTCTGTTAAATACATAGAGAATAAGAGCTGCAGCGCAAAGGCGCTACTAATTTATTATGCTAGCTGAAGATACTTCTACTAGTAGATATATGATGCCATGAATACAATTAAGTGTCTTGAATCCCATATACTCAGCAGTTCAAAAAAGTTGTAGGGTTCCACAAAATGTGTGCAATCTTGCTTCTGCATGTGTCTGCAAATTCTGCTTATCTGTGGTCCTAGTCAGGCACACCTCCAAGACAGACCGCACAACTTGTCTAAGCTAGTTTGTAAGTTGCAATTTGAGGACTTTGGCATGGAGGAGATTGCATATAAATGTATTAATGTGCTCTGAGCCAGCAGTTTGGCTTGCAAACTTTTCTAATACGCATCCAAGAGGAGTTAGCGTACAAGCTGCTGATGGGCAGCTGTGGACCCCATAAGTTGCCAGAGAAGTGCTCACAGCAGCTTGCTGTGCCAAGGGACAGTCCTTTGGAAGTGGGATGTTTGCCAGATGATCACACCTGTGGCAGTCAGTCTTGTGTGGAAGAGAGCATATACTTCTGGCAGGACAAGCTATGGAGGAGGAAAAAAGCCTTAGTGCAATGAATGTTCAAGCCTTGTACCACAAATCAGTGCTCCCTGTGCAGGGACAGCCACATGTAAACCTCTTTGCTCCATAGCAGAACAATTGTTTTCAGGCTCGCTGTTTGATGCCCACACGGTATAGAAGAGGTGTGAATGCGTAAAATGTATACATACATTTTGTATGTGTGTAAAATGAATATGTAATGTTTTGTATGCACATAAATGCAAAATGAATGCATACTATGTATTCACAGGATGATTTTAAAAAGCCAAACAAGACAAAGCTGTGTTCTACTAACAGCCTGAAACTGTTCGAGATTTTATCTGAGGTCCCTAAGCCTAATGACAAAGCCATCTCCTCTAAATGCTCTGTCAATAACAGCATCAAATGTAATTCCCAGATGTTAGTTGTATAAATTATTTCATCATCACCACTAATGGCAAGCAGCTCATGTGAGGCAGTCTATTATGAGATGCAAAACCTTTGATTAGGGAATACATTGCAGTCAAATAGAAGATCTGCTCAACACAGAAAAGCTGTGCCACTACCTGCCTTACAATTTATGCCATCAGATATAACTTCAGATAGATTTTAAAACACATCAGTGCATATTTGTGGATAGTAACGTTGAAATCCGTTGAGCACCTTTCTTCTACATTAAAGGTATGCACTACTTTTTTTATGTGTTTTCAGTATGACTTGAGTTCTTCATCATACAAGTTGTGTTACATGAGAGAAACATTTCAGAGCCTGGAAACTTCAAGATAGTATTCCTAAAAATGACACTGTAAATAACTACAAACGTAAGAACTTTTTGTTCTAAATGGAAGAATGTCACAAAATTCTATCCAATCTTTTTTTCATGGGTCAGCCCCTTTCTATTAAACACATTCTTGGCTGCCGTTCCATGGAATATGAGGTTAAGATAAAATCAGTTCAGTACATCGTCTAAGAGGGGACTGTATCCTGCCTGTACAAGAGGATTGGCTCAATAATTTGTTAGGTCTTTTTTGTCTGTGACTACTATGATCCTGCTTAAAATCAGATGACTGAGTTTCCATTCTGCAGCTTCCAGTATGTTGCGGAAATCCACTGTAATTAAATCTTATAAAATCCTCTTATTCCCCATATAAATAATTCTCTGACATAGGAGATTCCCCTGAGTCTACATCATAGCCAAAGGAAAACAAAGAGCAGAAGCAGTTACTTACATTCTCTTAAATATTTGATCATTTTGGACAAATTTCTGCACTGATTACATTAGCTGCAAGCCTCACTGAAATTAACAGAGATGTACCAATGATTTTTGTGACAGAATTTGGATTATTGATTTTTGTCACTTTTAGCATTAGTTTGAACAATGACTAAACTAGCGAATATTTTGAACTGTATAAACAGCAAGATGGTAGTTGTCTGAATTGTTCTAAGAAGTGAAGTGTAGGATTTCCCATTTTGTACTAGAAGCAAAAGCACATAAATCCTGCTTGACAGGATTTAAGATTGAAAGTGTTCTGGCAAAGAAGAGCTATATGCCTCATTAAGCTGATTTACCAAAACTGAAGGATCCTCTTAGCTTACAAGTAGGAACTACAGCAATATTAGTAATAATTTGTAATGATAAATACTTATTCCGAGCACATTGCCACTTCCAATCCCCATTTAGGGTTTGAGATAAAGAGACACACAGACAAAAATTCTTGTCCAACAATACCTTATGAACCAGAGAGTGCTTTGGGAATACACCCAGTCCTTTGACCTACTTGCTGAATGATGCCATCTCCCTTGTATGCAAAAACTTTGAAACTACACCACCAGAGAGCACTGTCCTATTTCTGCATTCACCTTTTCCTGCATGTTTGAGGATCTATTTTATTTAGTCTTCCTTATTTATTTACTTATTTTTAATTTAGTCTTTTGTTTTCAGTCTTTTTTTGGGGAACTTAAACACTTTTTAAATTTAATCACAAAACTGAGTTATGGATACGTCTTAATCATTAAATAGGGCATATAATAAATGTTCTCTAACCATTTCAGCAGAATGGTTGGGGAAGTACTCAGTCATGACTTCTGCAGTTCAATGCCATTAGCATGATTTTTAAAAAATCTCAGGGTACCCCTGGCAGACTGGCCCTTTTAGAGGGGTGTAATAAACCCAACCTCATACCTATACAAAAAATAAATATCAAATATCCAATTGTATGGATTTCTAAACAAGGGGGTAAAACTCCTAAATTAAAAGTGCTTCAATGGAAACTGTCCCTGGAAATAAGCTGTTTAGTCCTGTTCAGCTGTTTAGTCAAAGAAGACATCCAGACAGGAAATTCCAACCAGTCTCTGTGCAGGTTGAGCCAGGGTACAGTGGTAAAACGGTGGTCTGTATGTTATGTGTCACCATGCAAGAATCCATGAAACAGAGCATTTTGTGAAGAAAAACAATGCTCTTCATTTGTTTTCCACAGTGCCTGGCTTTCTGCCCGTATGTGTGGCATCGATACAACTGTTACAAGAAATGGAATAGATTTTGAAGCTGCATATTTGAGTAAGTATTGGTTGTAGTGGGTGTCAAAGTATTTCTGTTGTAGTTAAGACTTCTTACTGCTTGCTCTGGAACTTTAGGCATCTCACTTGGGTGTGCCTCTGTTTCCTCCCAGCCCATTGCCTTCTTGTTCTGTCTATATGAAAAACAAGTGCTTGAGCTATCACCTGAGTTATACTGTGGAGAACTGGGAGATTTCAGGTGACACTGGAATACTTTATTCTGTCTGTTACATTTACAGACCAACTTGCTAGTTTATCTCTGATGATATTATGATTACCCGTATCATTTCCTTACAAAGTAATCATTCTTCATCAGTTTTAAGGTCTTTATCCAAGCCACCTTAATGTATACCTGCCTATCTTATGACCGTTAGTCCCATATCTTTCTTCCCATGACAGCAGACTTGTGAGACTGAATCTTCTGTTATTGCTAATCCCCAAATAGATTCAGCAGTATTTTCAAGAGAAAAAAAATTTTTTTTTTCATCTTCATGTTTTATTACTTGTTAATATATGACAAAACAAATTTATTAAGAAGCAGACAGGTAGCATTTAGCATTGCTAAACAGAAAAAATTGTTCTAAATTTGCCCTTTTATGCCCTGGTGAATAAAAAGCTCCTTTCCCTTAAACTGTTTCTGATACAGATTAACATCACAGCAAAGATTAAGTTTAGAAGCTACCAGGAGCTTGTCAGGGTTAAGGACAAAAGAAACGAAGGACTCACAGGACTAGAATTGCACTTTTCACCTCCTTACTATCAACTTGCAAATAGAAAGGGTTGAAAAGAAGAAAAAAAAATAAACAGAAAGACTTTGGGGGCAGGGATTTATAGCTCTTCTGTTTCACCACTTCTTGGCACATTGACCTCAGTATGATACTCAGAGGACTCTCCTGAAGGCATCCAAGGTATTGGGGTTCTGTTGAAGGAGGGTCTGTTTCTGAAATTTTGATTATATAACATGATAGATTCTGGAAGCAAAGGGCAAATATCAAACTGAGGCACCTTGAAAGTCATCCGTTTGGCTGCTTTCTCATAACCCCCATAAGGCATGGCAGTCCTGGCATAGGAGAACAAATGGAGTTAGCGCACAGAACATAGGTAAACAATGGGACTTAGAAAATAAATTTATTGAGAATGTAAATTTTACAACTGTTGCAGTTAACTGGCCAACAAATCCTACCCAAATACATACATAACCATTGCCTATGTGCTAAAAAAATTATTTAAAAAACAAAACAAAACAAAAAAACACAACCACAAACAAATCCCCTCTGCTCCTGTGTACTTCTTTAATCCCTGCTGCATCAACCTCTGTAAAACCATACACCTTTCACATCTGTTGGTATCCCATACATGTTGGAGGCAAAGGCTGTGTTATTGCAGACTCAAGTGGAATTTGGTTTGTCCTGGGTAATGATGTCCTGAGGCTATGTAAGTAGGTGGCAAAATAGAGAGGCTAACAGAAAGTTGATGCTGCACTAGAAAATCTGTCAAACTTTTCATTCTTATCAGAAGCAGCAGGAAGATCCTAATTCTTATCTCAAGTACTGGAGGCACTGATGGCTTCTGATGTTAAGTATTTTTCCTGAACTCTTGAAATTTAAATGGCTGCAGTAATAAGTAGTAGCATGCCAAATTTCCCTGGTCAAATGTGGGGAGAAAGAAAGTGAAATAGGATTAAAGTTGTATTATCCTGCTACATAGGCTTCCTATCCATAAGGTGAATTCAAATCTGTAGCTCTTAACGTGTCTTCTCTTTGTAGACCTCCAAGCTTTTCATCCACGGGAGATTGCAGTAAGCAAAATGACATGAAACTAATACTTATTTACATTGCACAAGACAGGAGAGCTATGTCCAGGGCTACTGTAGTTTTTCTTCATGCAAAGTAAATGGAATTCAATATCCCTGAACACTTACCTGTTAAAAGATTTGTAATGGGGGAAATCAGCTTTGGGACTGTAGGACAGTAAGTCAATGGTCAACTGACTTTTATCCTCAGGGCTAATACCCATCGCTCGTTCCCAGGGGGAGATGTAAGTTTTAAATATAGTGACTTTTTTGCCTCCTGACTTTCCATCTGTAAACAGAGGAAAGTAAAACACTCAAGTTAGATGACAGGTACTCCAAATACAACACCTTTCTATACTCTACTATTGAAACTGGGACATCAGCTTTGTCTTTTTGGATCCTTTGTAACTCTTAGATCAAGTCACAGAATGTATGGTAAGATTTCTCTTAAAAGAAACTGTTGTGGGCCACTTCCATCATTATCCACAAAAGTAGAAGTACCACAATCTAAGAGCCACTCATCCAGGAACTTGCATTAAAGCATATACTTGAAAGCTAGTTTTTCATTGTTCCCTCTGGTTACTCAGGTAGAAACCTCTTCCCCTAAGAACAAATGTCTTAGGTACATCATCTCTTCCGCTACCTTAGGGGAAATTTTTATGCAAGGCAAAATGCTAACCTCATTTCACAGATTTATATTTCATGGGGATATCCCGAAATATCAAAGCAGATTTTGACATAAAATGCACACTCTTCCAGAATGTAAATGAAAAACCTTGGATTTTACAAGTCACTCAAAGTCATTTACAGAAGCTGTTCGCAGTTCCCAAGCAAATTTGCTTTTTGTTGTTAAAATGCCATAGGAACTGTTAAAATAACAATTTCACCAGCTGATTTTCATACAAGAGATTTGATTCCAGAGGCTTCTGGCCAAACTAAATGGAAGGTAAAATTATGCAAGGACTAAAATCAGTGAAAGATACCCTGCCTCGTAGAGATATTGCTTCAGTTCACTAGTGTTGATTAGCAGATAACATTTAGAAATATTGCTGCTTCTTTCTTACTATTATCCACAAAGTGCTGTTCATTCAAATGAAAACTTTGATTTGAAATTAGAATTGATACATGCACGACTGATGCGTCAGGTCAGACTGCTGAGCTAAAGAGCTACTGCTACTGTCTCCAGTACTGGTCAGTATGAAACCCTTGGAAGGGAAGGTAGAGCTCCCTACTCGTGTACTGCTGTCTCAACCTCAAATCAGGAGTTTCCCATCATTTCTTTTGTTCAGCCAAGGCTGGTATTTCTGCTTCTTGCTTATGAATGAGCAACACAGAAACATGCAATCAAAATTGTCAAGCTAAAGGCAATTCAACTTTTTAGACTTTGCAATGCAATTTAATTCGGAAGAATTGAGGTGTTACTCAAATTCATTTACTGGTCCCTAAAATTAACGCAGCCACAAGCCCTGATAGCTTTATCTATTTCTTGCTCTTTCAGAGAGATACTTGCCTTTCTCAGTACCATCACCTCCTTCTCCACCACTTCCAGCTGATTCCCCTGCATGCTCCCCTTCGCCGTCCCCAGGATCTCCTTTGCTTCCAGGCCTTCCAGGAACGGCGGAATATTGCTGCTTACCAGAGCCGTGCTGCCCTGCTGTCACTCCTCCTACCATCCGCCCGTGGGCATAGCTATCAGCATCTTCCCCGTAATGCCCGCCCGGTGGGATAAACTTCTGAAAGTGATCCTAGGGCAGAAAGAAAGAGAGTGGAGGTCACTGTTACGGGGCAGAGTCTGTTCACACTTACAGGCTTGGTACTCCTGAGTCCCTGTGGTCTGACCAGCCTTGTCCTGATTACAAAACCCATGGCAGAACTTTGTGTGAGTTATTCTCTTTATTCAATATAGGAGCACTTTCAGAACATCAGCAAGGGCAACTGAAGGACACTTTTCCATGCGCGCCTCATAGCCATTTTATATGAACAGGGTGAGAAGAGGGGTTCTGTGTACTGTCCCCAGTGGTGATCAGTATGAAATACAAGGGAAGGAAATGCAGCTTTTGCTAGATCAGCTGAAGGTCTAAGCAGAGATATATTGGTCAAGCTGTGAGAAAGCAAGCTGGACAAGAAATAGAAAATGTTTCATGTGGGAGCTAAGTGTTAGAGGGCACCAGAACAACGGGATAACGGTGAAAACATAAAGCCTGCCAGTTAACTGCCAATATGTCTGCCTTCCATACATATGAAGGTCTGCATAGAGAGAGGTATTTACACGCTGAGATTTACACTAAAGAGATAGCAGCCTAGTTTATGTCTTTTCTGTGGGACTAGGGCATTGGCTATAGGTACGCAAATGTAACTAATAAATGAAATAAAGCTGAAACTGACTGAATCTGTCTTTCCTTATGCAGCAATTCTGCTTCTCTAAATTCCTCTCAGGCAGTCTATGGGAGGTGCCAATCTCAGGGCTCCCAAAGGGTTAAGGCTTTCTCCGGGCTCTTACACCTAGTACAGTTTAGCAAAAAGAAGCTTTCCAGGCTGTAAACAGGCTTCCAAGGCCAGCTGTTCAGTCAGCTAAAAATAGATGAGAAGTGAAAACCCCACAAGGCTCTAGGCAGAATTATCTAACCCTCTGCTCCCTGTGTCTCCAGCAACAGTGTCCAGGGTTTCACAGCAGGTCACCAGGCTGCAACCCAGGCAGGGAGCCAGCTGCAGGCTGAAGTGGCAGAGCTGGTGCCTCCAGGGCCTTTAGGGACTGTCTGTCCTTCTCCTAGCTGCAGGGAATTCCCTTTTTAGGAACAGTGGAGATAATGTTCCCCTGAATGTCAGGAAGCACTGAGAAGGGAGAGGATTGTGAGCATGAAGCTTAAGCTGTACACAGGATCTAGCAGGGCAATCTGTTCAATTATGTGTGGGAGCCATGTAACTGTAAAAAGGCAACCTGAAACAAGGATTTTGTTGTTGTTGGCATGTAGGGGTCAGAATGAGGTTATTCTCAAAGCCTAATATATGTGGAAGGTTAATGCTTCCACTGATTTGCTCAGTAATTTCAAGGCAGTGTTTGCATCTATTTTCCTTTCACCCATGCTATGTGCCATTCCTCAGAATTAAATACTTATTTCTTTTTTCTTCTGCTAACTTACATTCAATTTCACCCCCCAAAAATAAATGAATAAATCACAAAGCATAAGCGTAACATGAGCTACAGTAAAACGGGCTGCTTTGATCTTGTGTGCAACAGCAGTATTTGATGTGGCCAGGAAGGGGCATCATTGTCATCTTGTGTTATTTTAAATTGCAATATTATCACTAAGCAGGAGTGAAGTTTTTCTGAAACACAAAGTGTGCCTCAGGAAACCCACACTTAAATACTATTTAGCTGCAAATGAAATCAGTTGCTGGGTCTTCAGCCTAGTTCATGATTCTACATGGACCCACTAGGTCTATGTTCAGGAGACGTTTCCATTCAGATAGGAAAGATCCATGGAACATGGGTTTTCCATGCAACACCCCAAGTCTACTCACCTGCTAGAATAAAAGTCATGCTTTCTTTACTTTTGGCTATCACAGTGGATTTTCTTAACTAATTTACATAGAGATCCTCTTTTTATATAACAGGAGGCAACAGCAAATTCATCTTTTTGAAATCTTGAACCTTGCTGGCTTCAAACAAGCTCACTCCAAGACAGTGTTGCTCAGGAACAGCACTTCAAACAGGAGTCTTAACTGCAGTCAAAGCTGGGTAAGTGCAGCTTTGTCTTTGGTATTTGCAGCATGCCTCTCGGCAGGGTGTTTGGAATGAAGAGAGATTTTACTTGGGTGGAAAGCGTGGCTCATGCCATTGGTAACAAGTTGTGGAGGTTTACATATATGCATATTCACATCACAAAAGCCACTTCTCAGTTGGGGTTGACTGAGCCTGTTGGTGGAAGTCCCAGAAGAGAAGCCCAGGAGTGTCAACTGAGAAGGCTGATAACCCTCTCCACTTTGCCCAGGGGACAGATCGCTGTCCCTCTGTGGTAAGGTCTGCCTTGTCTGTGTGTTTCTGGAGGAAGTGGGCAGTGTCAGTCCCTGGACACCTCTAAATCTGCTCAAAGAGAAGAACAGTTGTGGCAAGTTCATGTAATGCATAGTCCCCTGGCTTGCCTAAAAATTTTGGGCTCTTGTCTTTTAAGTTGGTATCACTAGCAAGAGCCTGATCCTGCAGGCTGAGTGCCTGGATCAGATTAATTCTGAATTCTCAAGGGCTGCTCCATGTGTCTCATGAAAAATAGATAATGAAAGATGATCCAGCTAATAGAGCTGAGATCTCTAAGTATCTCAAGGCCCTGACGTCACTGCAGGCAGTCCCCAGGAGGAGACACCGTGTGCTCCCCGTCAGCTCCTCACTGTGCCCTAAAGAAAATGATTGAGGCCAGCAAATGTGTTTCTATTTCCGCCTCACCGATAAAGAGCTTCCCAAAGGCTTGATGCCTATGTGGTTACTAACACTTCTGAAGTTACCACGACCGCGTCCTCTCAGTAGCAGCCACTCAAATGTTCCTTAGTGGTGGGATGGGTGGTTTAAAATTCAGACACTTGAATATGAGAGTAGGGTTGACTGCATAAGAGTGCCTGCTGTTTTATCAAAAATAAGGTAATGAAGTGCCCATTGGTCCTTAATTTGGCATTGCACAACCTTAAACCTGTGATTCACTTTTTAAAAAAGGGTGAACATAAAAAGTAATCTCAGCTGTTAAAGTATCTTAAGCTATTTTTTAATCACATTCCCCCAAGAGGCATAGTTTAGTTGGTTGAGCTCCTGCTTTCTATTTCCAGCTCTACTTCTGACTCGCTGTTTAATCTTAGAGAAAGAATTTTTCACCTCATGCTTGTGCCTTAAACTGAGTATAATAACTGCACAATAACTTTTCTGTTCCTTCATCTAAGGATGGAGGATGCTCTCATTCACATACTGTATCATGTCTGGCTATTTAACATGTAAGATCTGTGATGCAGGTTGGTTGTGTACTTTTGTCTGTTGTGATGCACCACTTCTGGCATTGTAACCTCAGCACTTCCATTTTCTACCTGCCACTTCTGCTTACTACTCTGGGTTCTTGTTCAGCAGCAAAATAAAATAAAATAAAATAAAATAAAATGCAGAGTAACTCCTGCCATTGTCCAGAAGAACAGGAATCCAATTCGTTAACTGTTTTTTACTTCCTATGTTTTGTGTCACATTTGGAATCTTAACTGATCTGAAAAGACCTCCTGACCTGAAGCCCAACAGAAATTACCTACCAACGTATTGCTCAGCTTGTTTTCCTATGAGCATTGCCAAGATACGGCAACTGCCTCTGTTTAACTGGTGGGCTACTCTGAGAATGTATCAAGGTGGTTTTTTGTTTGTGGTTGCTGATTTTTTTTTGATGTACTACTGCTGATAATTGCCTCCTCACATATTATGCTGCCTTCCTAGTGCTTTAAATTTAAGATATGGTAGGTAAAGCAGAAAGAAAAAAAATACAGACAAATCAAGTCTTTCTGTAAGATGTTTGCTGCATGTAGCCCAAATCAGGCCACAGATTTTGACTATTAGAAAGACTATTTTTAAGGATCCTCGCTAGAAGATAAACATCATACCAGCGACATCCAAAAAGAATAACTATGGTTTTGTTCTCAATTTCTATCAACTGATAGTAGGAAGGTCTTAGACAGAGGTTCCCAAAGCACAAGTGGGATCTTGAGATGAATTACAGCAATAACAAGTGGAGCTACAAGGCTAAGAAATGCAGTTTCACACAATGTTGATGTATTTGACAACAAATAACTTAGTGTTATGAAGTGGAATAAAGGCCTGTGAACTACTGATCTAATTTCTGAACAGTAAAATGGGATTTAGGAGACCCAGAGGTAAGATGAGCCCCTCTCTGTGATACTGGGTGATTCATTAATATACCCCATGTCTCAGTTTGACCTTTAAAAATGGATGTAGTGATTTTCTTCCTGCTGTGGTCAGTCAGATGCTACAGTAATAGAGCCACAGGTAGCTAGGATTTTGTAATGGTCTTTAGTCAGTAACAAATTGCATCTTGCAACTCCACTATGCGGTCGATAATGTCCTCAGAGGCATGGATTGAATCACAGTTTCTTCGATATGAATGGCACAACATGGGGTAGGAAGAAGAAGTCCTTCTTTTAGTTATTAGCCAGGGCAAGGCAGAGCCCAGCTCATGGTACCAAACAAGGAGAACTTCACAAGAACTCTCCCTGTTCGACAAGATACCACTATGCTGTAAGTGTCAGACTCAGTCCTTCCTAAAAACATCCCCTTGTACTGTATTCTTGCAAGAGAAGAGGGACAATATTGAAAATTGCTACACAGCAATTCATTGTGTGCATTTCATTGTGCTCACATCAGTAACATTCAATTGTTTTGACTGGGATTTAGCTACAGTTTGCCTTTAACTGGATGCCCACAGCAGCGATAAGAGAGGGAGTGGCAGGTTCTCACTTCTGTGTGGGTCTGTCTGGCATTTATGCACATGCAATGCATACGTTTTCTCTGCTACAAGTAAGGAGAGTGACCTGGTTGCCCAGGGTGGTTGTTTGGGTGGAGGAGGAGGAGGTGGAGGAGGGAAGCAGGAGGGTAGATCAATGACACATGACTGCTGAGATCTTTTCCCATGTGTGGAAGGTTTATGGCTTTAGTACAGGCTATTCTGGGACCCCTTATATGGTTTGGAATTATTTTTAATAACCTTTCTCTTTGTCCTGTTTTTATATAACATTACCTTACTTTTTCTGGGGGAAAGAAACAACCTGTACTCCATTCCAGCCCTTTCTTGCTCTGCTTTGTCCTCAGAACTTTTTCAGACAGTTAATGAATCCATGATATAAAAACAAAAACCAAACCACCAGCTTTAAATCCCTTCACTGTCCCACAGCCTTGAAGGCACAGGGACTTCTTTGGGACAGGTAGCAAAGGACACGAAAACTAACTGAGAGGAGGAAGTGACTGGAAGAAGCAGTAGGAATTCTCTGCTCTGCCATTAGCTTCCTCTCACAGTTCCTTTTTGTTTAAGCCTTCTTTTCTGTATCCTCCTTTGAGCAGAGCCAGGAGCAAGGAAGGAAACGAATAGAGAACTAATCAAAAATTGCAATCAAAAAGGTTTTTTGATAAAGTGATTTGGTGCTAAGGTCAGGCATTGTCCTGATGGTTTGGAAGACAACAGTGAGGCCACAGATCTGCTGCCTTTAGCTGCCTGATAGCAACCAGTCCTCTGAGGGGGTTGCTTCGTTGCTGAGATCTCTCAGCTTTTATTCTTGCTGCTCTGGCTGCCAGCAAAGGTGCTAATTCATGCTGGCTGTGATGATGAGAACAGTTATCCACAGAAACAGTGGATGCAGCCTGGCAGAGCCCTCACACAGAGCACACAGAGCAGCCAGCAAATGGTAACAATCATGTTTGTAATCCTGCTAAAATGGCCCTGTGCAAGGACGGTATGGCAGACTGAAGTCTTCCTGCACCAACTGATTCATTACCTGTACCATGAGTGTGGAGAAAAGAGAGCCCTGAAAGTGAGTCATGGAGGATTCTAAAGCAGAGCACCAGCTCCTCTTTGGAGCCTCTGCCATTGTTGCCATTTAGCAAAGCCATGAAAAAAATCCTAGGCTTGCTAGGGTCTTGTCTAACCCCCAAATACATCTCCACAGCAAAATGTCTTAACAGTCTTGCTCAAAAAGCAGGGGAGCAGGGGTTTTCTTGCAGAAAAAAATGTAGAGGTTCACTACAGAACAGGTATGGAGTGAATGTCAGGTGTGGATGAATAAACAGAACAAAACAGGAAAAACGGTGAACAGAGAGTAAGTGGTTGTCTTCAGCCTTTGTAATCTAAGTCTTGGAGAGACCCAGTGTCTCTATTAATACTTCAGGGCCTCTTTGTTTTTGCATATCCAGTTATTCATACTCGGTTTTGCATATCCAGTGAGCTCGTTTGTCACAACTCATTGACTGTATTTCTCTGATTGGACTCTCAATTTTTTGAATGTTTTGATTTCAGCCTTTTTATTCCCATACATTATTATTTTCTCACTCCTCCTGTGATCCTCACTGCAGTCTTCAGACTCTGACATATGAAGTTGGCCCTCATACATTTTAGGAGCTCTGAGATTGCTGAGTATTTATAAAAACAGCTTGCATTTCTCTAAGGTTTTCATTCAGAGAGTTCAAAGTTCAACACACCAGTCATTCTGACATCCCTTCTAGGAGGGAGCTAATTGAAGAGAGGAACTGCCTAAGGCACAAAGAGATGAAGAAACTGCACGAAGTCCAACAACACCAGATATACTTGCTGTATCTCTGGTGTGTCATCCCTGATCTGCAGTCTGACCTACTGTGACAATTTTAATGATTTCTTTTATTTCAGGCATCTTTCCACATCCTGCTTCCCAAATTGTCATTTTTAGAAGTCAACTACAAAGGTCTACTTGCTGCTTTTTAAAACATCAGAGAGCTAAAAAATAGCATGTTTTCATTTGACAGAACATTAACTTCAGCTTGACTTTTATTATTTTGCTTGAGTTTCCCTGGACTGGAAAACAGATGCCATAAAGGGATAAAACGACACCAAATAAAATTTAAAGAGCATCAGAAGATGAGATGCTGCATCACAATGTGTGTGAACCTGAAACATTTTCTATTTGTTTTACTGAATTCCTGACAATCACATGAAAGGGAAGTTTCCATTTGTAAACGTTTAAGTATCTTCAGAAGGTCTTACTGAAGAAAGAAGTTCAAAGGTTAGCTAACAGAACTATCTCACGGGAAAGGGGAAAACAAGATACCATGTCTTATAGGGAAATACTCCAGAAAAACAAAACAAAACAAAAAACCAACCATAGATTCTAGCAAGTAAACTGAAGATACTGCAGTATCATCTTAGAGCTTTCTGTCTGAATTTTCATTTACAGAGCTTCTTGCAAAAATGAGCAGAGGACTCTGCACAGTAGGAAGAATAAAAGTGTATCCTAGGCTAAAAATAAAACTGCACCCACTGGTGCTGAAGTCAGACCTGACTGGATCATTTCCATCTTGCAAAGAAAAATAAGGGAATGTGTACAACAACAATTAGTCCTGCCCTGTGCAGCTATGAACACCTGCTGTACACACAGTTCTCCCTCTTCACTCAGTACTGGCTTTTCTCATGCTTCTGCGTGATACCAAAGTATTTGCCAAAGGAAAATAATGCTGCTGCCAAAAGGAAATAAAACTTGTGTGTCCCTATATATATATTTATTTTTCTGCACTCCTTTGCCAGTGGATCCCCCCCTCGCCCATGCATATGCATTCAGACAGAGACGAGCTCAGGCACTTTCTATTCCTATTTCCCCTGGGGGTATGGAGCGGTTTTAATTTCCAACCTACCACAGAATTGTCAGTGAAGGCATCAGGGTTATTCTCATAAATGAACTTCTCCACCCTCAGCTGTCGTAATTTGAACATCTTGGATCCTTTGTTCGTGAGGAGAGAAAGCTCTTCTAGCATCACATCTCTGGGGATGCTGATCTTCTTCCCCAGGTTCAGCTTGGATACCTCTTGTGGCATGTCTACAAAACATATGAAACAGGACACTTTAGGAAGTGCTCTGGTCCAGCTCTCTTGTCCATTGCTTCCCAGCATCAGGGATTTCAAAGTAGCCAAATTCTCTTCTAAATTTCTAAATTAAGTTTTTAGGAAATAACCCATGTACTTTTTTTTTTTTTTTTTTTTTTTTTTTTTTTGTGCAGTGATGAAATTTTTTATATAGGTGGGTGAAATTTACTGTGGATTGGAATCAGGACATAAGGGTGCATGTATTCTACATGTAGCCACATCTGAAGCACCTCAGTGCAGCAGAAGTTATTGGTATTGCCTCAAAATGTGCCCCTGGCTTATCCAGTTACTGCCTGATACTCCCCTCCTCTGGACTGAAATGAGTGGCAGTCAGCTCTTCAGATCGCGCTGTCACACAGTGAACAAAGACAATTCTGGCATGCTTTGGTTTAAACATTATTCTGTAACCATGGCAAGATTTAATGAAGTTATATCATGTTTGTTTGTTTTAAGGGGAACTTCTGGAAGGAAAAGTGGTGGACCTTCTCTTCAAGACAATAGGCTGCTTACTGGATAAGTCCCTTTCCATATAATTTGGTACCCCCAATTCTCTGTCAGAGCAATGGATTCAAACATTTTCAGTGTAAAAATCTTGCAGAAATGTGGTTAAAGCTTTTCATCCTGAAACAAGCAACTTTTCTACTTTTCTTTTTTTTTATTATGTGTCTGTATTAAGTAAGGTTAAGACCACTTATCTGTCTCTACTTATAATTTACAACAGAGAATAAATCTCCCTCCTTAAACTGGTATAAGATTAGTATAAGCCCATTAATTTTAATAGACGTTCTTTGAAGAAATTCTCTTTTTTTTTTTTTAAGCAAGCCTAATCACATCTGACACTATGTCCTAGGGCAAGAGGAAATGCCCTTTAATGGAAAATTGGATTTTTACTTGCTCATTTACATGAATGCAGGATTAGGATGAATAGAAAAATAAATACAAGTACCCTAATAAAGAAGTTTAAATAGTCCTTTTCGGGAGCTGAAGAAAGGGCCAGCACTGAATTACTACTTTACAAAACCTCTGAAAACCTTTCCCATGTTGTTAAAAGTAAAGAGGAAAATATCACATTTAATTAAAAGTCACCCTACCCAATACACATGTATTCTGTAGAAAGAGAAGTGTCCCAAGTCATATTCTTCCTGCTGTGTTAACCCCACTGAGAGATTTTGCCTTTTTCCACTAATGAGTGCTGGAATCAAAGGAATTCTCTCACAAAGAGGAAAAAGAGGCGAAGATTGCAAGAGAGAGATTAACGTAGAATATAACCAGGCATTGCAATATTGATGCCCAGAAATGATCATATTCTCTTTCCATTCACACTGACATGGTGTATACAACACATTTAACAGAACATTACAGAATGTGGTGTGCTTGAAGGCTGCGCTTTAGTAATAGTTGTGACCTCCTGGTATGTTCAATGCATATCTTGCTGTAGGAGTTCAGTCAGATGTGGTGTGAAATTTTGAAAGCTAAAATTTAAGTTGGAACCCAAACAGTTCTCATGTGTGCAGTTTTGCATATCTTACCTTCGTGTGTCAGCTTCCCAATGAGTTTAGTGGACTTTTTCCTTTTAACAGGAGCAGGAGTCCCTGCAAGGGGCATTCCCACAAAGAGTTCTCTGCTTTGCTCTAAACACACAAGGAAATGGAGAATGAAACACTGGAAGTTATCTCTTGCCTCTCTTTCAGTTGCCATCTACAGTTAAGAGACACATGGTCTTCATTTCACACACAGGCTCTTTTCCATCCCTTCCACATGGAAGAGGTAGCAAATGGTATCATCCTATGCAGAATATCCTGCTGTTCTTTGGAGACATAGTATTACGACACAAAATATGGCAACTGGTCACAGCAGAGGCATTGCCATCCAAACTACACAGTATAATTACAACATAGCAGTCTCCCAGCCTGTGTGTGCCACAGTGCTGCTCTGTTACATTATTGTGCTGGAGTAACAAAACGTCAGTTTGAAAATTCACTACCATAACATACTCTAATAGCGGGCAGTTATCATTCAGTGGTGATGTATGCTTTGGTATTAAGATGTTGAGTCTGCCCATGAGTTATCTGGGAGCATTTTGAATAATGTGTTAGTTTGGTTTAGATGTTTAGATAGTTCTATTGAAATTGGAATAAAAAAAAAGGAAGAAAAAAAAAAAAGAAACCCTATGTAATTCTAACTTGTTACAGAAGGGCTGGAGAAAGAAGGCACAGGCAAGCTTGTTGAAGGAAAAGTTGTTCACCCAAGTTGTTTGAAGTCACTTGCACCAGTATCTTATTTATTGGTCTTATCACATTTCATTTTGGAGAGTAGGCGAGAGGAAGAGGGAGATTTCTTCTGGTACACTGTTTTCCATCTTTGTCCCCAAAAGGATAAAAGATGTGTGCTTCAAAGTCAGGGAAAGTTAGGAGAAATCTCAGCAATTTCACTTCACACAGCTTTTCACAGTTCCTCTGGAGGTTATCACACATAACATGAGTAGAGCCAAAGTCTTGCCTTTGCTTTAGCACTGTCAGTGCCCGAATAGCAGCATACAGGGGGACAGATCCTCACCTAATACCACTGTACACAGTGCAGATGAAAAAGAGCAAAGGTCCACTGGCTTCCTCAGTGGAATACAGTAACTGATCATCTCCATCCTTGTGCCTCTTTGCACCTTTAGTTGCTTAACACTTCAGAACTGAATAGACTGAACTAGGAGTTATATTTATGTAACCATGAGCACATATATATATATAAACTAGCAAGCAAACAACTAGCTCTGGGAGCTTGTGCGCTGCCCTTGATGTGATCAAGACATTTTTATCTTCTGTGTATTTTTCAGTTTTATTCCACTGTTGCTCCTTTTGCAACGTGATTTTCATGTGATGAGGTGATGATAACTGCTAAAGCAGCCCAGCCCCACCAAACCAGCTCCAATCACACTGGCAGATATTCTCATGGATATTATTTTTACTTTCTGATTTCCAAGCTTTACTTTTCCCTGAGATGCTGCCTATGTAGTTCACATGGCAGAAGAGCCCATCCTGGTGTATTCGCAAAGCAAGCGTAAGCAGGTGCAGCCATAAAGCATGTGCTGCACATTCTCCTCGAGCAGACGGACATCTGCTTGGCTATTTAAAAGAAGCGGGCCCTGCTTGACAGGAAAGGGGCAATGCTGCCAGGAGGCAGGGGGGTTGGAAGGTTATGGCCCATCTGATGGGTCACAAGACTGCCAAAACAGAGGGAAAATCATCTGCATGCCCCAAATGTGGTCTCCTTGGGGCAAGAGAGGAAGGGCTGGCACTGGTAGGGAGCCGTGCCCTTCCAGCACTCCCATTACGGAGGAGCAGTGAGGGCAAGGCTGTCCCATTCTGCTGTCCTTCACTAGTCCATCAGGACTGGGGAGTGGAAAACCTGCTCCATGGAAGTGGTTTAACGTAAGGAAAAGGGCAACGGTCTTCAGTATGGACAGGGCTGAGAGCCACACCGTGACTCTTCCTGCTACGCCACCACGGGGGAGGCTGCTGGAGCCTCAGTCCCCAGCCTCCCCACTGTCCCATGCATAAAGCCAGGGCCACAATTGTCCTTTTCTCCCCTCAGCCTTATCCCTCAGTGCAACTCCTCTGTCTTTTCCTGCATGAGTCTTTGCAGCAGTCATTTTCTTGGTTTTGCTTCAAAGCAACCTAGTTTTCACCCTCTCCAGCCCCTGCCCTAAACTATTTTGCTTCGAGGTCAACTCACCTCAGGCTTGCAGTGCCCCGCTCAGCTCGGCTCATGCGCCTGCCCCACAGCTCGGCAGGGGGCTGCTTCCTCCCAGCCCGTCCTTGGGTGCTGCTGGGGAGGCTGGTCCGGCAGCCCCGCTCGCCCAGGGGGCCTGGGTGCAGGCAAGCTCTGCCCAGCACAAAGTGCTGATGCAGAGTGCTGTGAATTTGACTCTTGAAGTCTGCTTGCACAGGCATCCTGCGGTTATTAATAGCTGACAGCCTGGAGCGTAGGGTCTCAGATAGCACTGCCACCGGCCCCGAGGAGAGGGGAAAGGAAAAGGTTGCTCCTTGGGCCTCCTGCAGTCGCTGTCTCCGTGCCCAGGAAGACCAGGCACCCCGTAGGTGCCTCACTCAAATCAATATTGCATTCCTCTTCCTCCTCCTGTTCCATTTTAGTAATCCTTTCTCAATATCATGTTTCTCAGCAATGCTTCAAAAACTCTCTGGGGTTTTGCTCTTATTTACATGTTTCTTCTGCCCCCTCCTCACTCCATCATTCAGCTTGGCCTCCTCAAGGCTCTCATACACAATTCCTAAAATGCCAGGCATTCAAGTAATGCATCTGAAGGCACAGAAGTAAAGTGATCATATGCATGAACCAAGAAGTAGTGAGAAAACCACAAAGTCTGGAAAGCTATTTAGAGAGTCTTAGGAAGTAGCTGTGCAATGTGTATGGGAGACCCAGAAGGATCAAACAGCAAGGAAACTCATTTCCTGATTCATGGCAGAAATGGGGTTGATTGCCTGCATTTTGTGTAGCTCTGTGCATGCCAACGACACCCCTACCATCGCTCCTTTGTCTGTGAATAGGAAGTAGGGACCTACGGGCAATAAACTGCCTTTATACCCTGCTTGGAATCAGGGCACATATGGCCATCTCCTAGCCTAAAGTTTGATGTGCTGATAATTGCTCAAAATCAGCAGCCCTTTGCCTCTCCTTTCTCAAAGGCATGAGATAGAGTTGCCTCAGATTTAAGAAGTTTCTGCCTCCATTTTGGTAATCAACTAAGAATTAATGTGATTTATATTATGAGGTAGGAAGCTGAGAAGTGCAGCTACCATTATACGGCACCTTCCTGCAGTCACTGGAACGATGCTAAACTCTGCCTCCTCTCTGCTTGCCTCCAGCAGCTGTTTTCAGACCATTTTTTAGCTGCTATATTATTTCTCCAGTCATCTCCAGCACCTTCATGAGCACAAATTACACCTTAGGTGAACAATCTGTGCTAGATGGATATCACAGGGAAACCTGTTGGGTTTTGAGGCATGGTGTAGCTCTAGAAGATGTTGTAGCAGGGAAATATGTGTTTATTCTTCCCTACCACACAGCACGACCTGCTGCTTCTCTGCTTCCTCCCATCCCAGTGGAGAGATGGTCCAGATGCATGCAGAAGAGCTGTGCAGGATGGAAGGAGAGGGCCTCAAGACTAGTGGGAGATCGATGGAAACCCTCTTACAAAACTCTAGAGAGAGTAGGGAAAAGCAATAGGAAGGAGATGAAGGGAAGGTGTGCAGTGTCTGTGAATCTCAGACAGGATACTGGCAGGCATGCCCAGCAGAAAGGACTGGGCACTGATGGCAATTCGGGGTGAGATGCCTCCAGGAGACCAGATTCCTCTGAGGATCCCCATCCCAAAGGGTAAGAAACAAGTGGGGTTAAGGGAAGGCAGGTATCCATACACAGGGTGAGGTGTGGGACCTAACGGTGCTGTTGGTGTGTACTGCACGGAGCTGGAGCCTTGATCCCAGAGGGAATGTAAGAGAGGGTTTATTCTGTTAGTATGGCACCAGGATTTACAGGGTGATTTGGATAAAGCAGTCTTGTGTCTGACACTTAAGCACCAAGGCACATCTTTAACTGAGATTCCCACCTCCTACTCTAGCTTCAAATAAAATCGTATGGCTCCATTTTCAGTTGCCAGGCTGAGAACTAAATGCTGCTCATTCTCCTCTCTCTGCACAGTTTCCCTGAGAGATAGAAATACGTAGTTCACTAGTCTAGAAATGTCTTGGGCGGGCGTAGCAGAGATGGCACTTGTGCCCTACCACGATGCCAGGTTCAGCAGCTCAGTGGCTTTTTGCATGGGTAGTGTTGTCCCAGTCTGATAGCCCTGCCTTTGGTAATAGGATGAAAACAGGAGAGCTAAGAAGTAATGTAGGGCTCTTACTCTTATCTTGTAACCCACTCATGCTCAAGGCTCAGGCTTGTAAATCATTACAAGACTTGGTTGATGAGTTACCTTTTTTTTTTTTTTTTTCCCCTGGATTGTAGTGAGATATGGGGGCTAAATTCAGTCCTTGCTTGAGAGTGGAGCTTCCACTTAGGTCAGTGGTAATAGTACCTGTCCTGCCTTCAGGACATTTCAGCACTTCAGAGAGGAGTTTTTAATCACACAAGGGACTGTCTGTATTTCACTGCGACTACCTCCCTCTTTCCAAATATATGCTTTGCTTAAGTGGCTTTAAGAACAGCTTGCACAATGCTTTGCTTTGTCTGACCTGTACCTTCAAAAGTTGTTTATTTTTCTGCTGAATTCCCATGCACCTAATTTTAAACAGGCAACTTCGGAATGTTGATGTCTGGAAAATCATTTCAAGCACAGCAGATGAGACCTGTCTCATTCCATAGTGCTAGATGGCCGTAAGTAGCAGCCAAGACAAAAGTCATCGGCAGGGCTGCCTCCTGAGCACATTTTGATCATGTGAAAGTCTGGCAAGCAGAGTCAGTCTGGCAAAGAGTCTTCACCATTTTAGTTTTCCAAAGATATGGAGTTAAATATTCACCTTGCTCCCCTTTCTCCCTGGAGCCCAGGACTGGTATGTGCTGAAAATATTCGTAAGCAACGGATTTCAACACAATTTGATCTGTCCTGAAAAGAACATGCAAAGCTCTTGGGTCGGCTTTTGTGGGGGAGGTTGCTTTTCATTTTGAAATACATATATATATATATTGATCTTTTAAAATATTTTGTATATGCCTAATCTCTTCCACTTCTACACAGACAGCAGGAAGACTTGTCAGTAGCTTGTAGCAACACAATAGGACAAATAGTTAACACCCGGCTCTCTCCTGCCATTAAATGGGCTTAGGTGATGATGATGCATAGGTCTGGGACAGAAAGATGTAGGATTTGATCACAAAGCTGTGTGTTGGAATAGCTGGGTACCTATGGTGTGTTACTCGCCGGCAGTCTGCCTGCATGCCCCACATGCTGCCACCCAGGAATCCCCCCCAAGCCGCAGCAAGCCTCCCACTGCCAAAACTGCCCGGCATGAGGCTGGTCTTCTCCTCTGGTATGTGGCATTAAGAAACACCATATGTGAATGCCAAAAGAGGTTGATTAGGAGGGAAGGATTCCCTAAGATTTTAAACCCTCCAAGTTTAACACCACATCAGGTGAATGCCAAAACTCCGGATAATTTAGAGAACAGTGGCAACATCTAGTGGCCATTGCAGCTATAGGTATGTAGTGCCTGGGAATATCCTTATTCTTCACACATGCCACATACCTGCCTGGCTTTGCACTTTGCTGGACACTTCTCCTTCCATCCAACATAAGTCTTTGGGGGTAGGTACCCCCCCCATGGCACCTTACTATTTTCTATTTTTAAAATACTCTCTGAGGAGCTCACTGGAGTCCATGTTCGTCCCTAGCCTGCCAACAAAGGTTCAGTAACCCTGTGGCTTTGCTTTGGGCCAGTAGTCTCGGGGCTGGCTCCCCCTCCACATTTGAAAGTCTGATTGTCTGATCCTTCTGACACGGTCTGTTGTGAGAAGAAATGACTCTCACTTGAGAAGGTTGTAGAGGTTAACATGGAATTTAATCATAGCCCTGGACACAACAACTGTCCTGCAATGTGTCAAACCATCTGGAGTAGCTCGTAATCCTACTATGTCAGCTTTATTAAGCAAAACAAGATGCAGCCCTAATCTGCAGCTTGTGCATCTGTAGTTTTATCTCTTTGGGAACTGCACTTCTGGTTGGGCTTGAAGCTCAGGTTTGGCATCATCAGACATTGCTACCCCTTTGGATTTTTTACTTTCCACAAATCAATCAGAAATAGGCTGGATAGTCCCAAAACCCACCTCCAGACACTGTGTAAGGGACGCCTCCTAGCAGTTAATCTGAGAAACATCCCCAAAACAGTGCCTGGGCAAGTGTCCAGACTGCATTCTAATCCTATAGCTGACCCCAGCAGCTCCTGCAATGCTCAGGAATTGCTATCTGTGAGTGACATACATCTGGAAAAGTAATGCCTGACAACACTCGTCTGAAACTGAGCACAATGAACCTCTCAGGACCCAGGGCTGGAGCCTGAGGATGTAGTGGGATATATTTGTTTTTCTGATGGATTGGGTTTCCTGATTTCTCAGTACGTTAAGAATACAGTGAGTAGTAGTACGATGTGGGTTTGTATGTGAACTTAGTGGAGCTGACAACCTGTTGTTAATACCAGATTTATAAGCAGGGGATAGCAGAGGAATCCCTTAACAGGGATTCAGGAGCTAACAAATGAGGATTTAGGCTAAGTCTGGAAAAGGTGACTAAATCAATTTTAGGTTATGCTAGGTGTTTTGTCCCATCCCTTCACTGTTAAAATTTGGACCCATCTTTTGCTAGGGCAGGGACTGTTATGGCAGGGACAGCCTAGGACAAGAGCAGGTTGCTGGGCCAGATTTCATACTGACAGGTCCTATCTGCACAATAACTGGGACAAGAAGAGGTGGTTGGGATAGGTTTCTAGCTGGCACCTCTGTAAATTCCTGTCTGGATTTTGTTCTGTTTTAGCCATAGCCACTGGGCTGGAGCAGAGCAGGGCTATGAGTGGTTATGCTGAGGGTGAACAGGAACGGGCAGAGCTGATTGTAGCACCAGGCTGTGACACCGCCCTTAAGGAAATTTCTTCTTTGCCCTATCAGTGAGTGGTTTATAACCCTTTACACCAAAATTTACATCTGACTTAATTTTTGATTGTTTTGCTTAGTTGTTTTTATTACCAGGACATCCCATCTTTTTTTGGACTCCTTATATTGTCTTGGCCTTAGCAGTAGTAATAGATTGTGGTGGTGGTGAACTGCATGTGATGTACACAGCAGTCCTTTCTTGGTGCTAGGCAAAGAAGGTGACAAAATGCCACATGTAAAGTGCATATCACAAGTTTATTCTTCTGCACAAACAAATAGAAAGTGACTGTAAATTGCAAAAACGACAAAACAGAAAAGGAAAAAAGTATTTCCATAAACAGAGACGCCACCTCTGTTCTCCTTCTGAGGTCACATCTTCCACCAGAGCACTGCTGTGAGGCTCCCATCTTCAGAGCACCGACAAGTCTCCTCTAAGAAGAGGGTCTGGTAGAGTGTGCTGGATGGTAGCAGAAAGGGAGTGAATTCTGTCAGAGGAACAATCTTGGGTTATTCTGTGCTGCATCTGGTGAACAGTGACTCCTCGTCACACCAGTCTCTTCCGAGATTCTTCCTCTCAGCTGCTACAGGAACTTGAGGTTATCTCTGGCAAGTGTTGCCATACATTCAGAGGGAAGAGAAGCCAAGATAAACCCCCAGGATTGCCATAGCTGCAATGTAGAACCAGCAGCATGCTAGAGAGGAGGCCGTTTTAAATCAGAGCCCACGTAGACGTCTTCAAATGCTTACCTAAGGGATACTGGGGGTTGGCCTACCACTGCAGCTCATAACTTAGCAGGTGGGAGCTAAAACTTGTCCAGCAACTGTTTACATGTGTGCTTGTTCAACAGCTGAGGAATTAGGAATTTGGAGAGGCTCAAGACAATCTTAGACGGTTCAAAAGTATTCCTTGTAACCTCAACCGTGACCTTTCTAACAGGCAGCCACATTATTTTCATGAGCAGACACTAGCAGAGCTGCACAAAGCCAGCAGTTGTGCAAGTTTCTTCCCTATAGCTTAGCAGATGCATCTCAGTATTAGTTCTCATCTCATGCTACTTGCAGCCACAGGCCTTATTTGGGATACTCCACAAGCACTGTAGGCCTCATCTGCAGCACCCTCTGCTTCTGCAGAGCCCCTTCTGTCCTCAGCACAGGACCCAGAAAAGACTGGGAGAGGCTGATGCCATCAAACTAGCGTTCCTCCCAAACCTAGTTTTGAACCAAGGATGGTAGAGGTGAAATGCAGGATCCCTTGCCTCCCGATTCTTTTCCTTGCTCTGATGTTTAGCATTAATTCTCCTATCAGACCTAACATTTTTTCATCTCCTGCCCACTACATTATCAGAAATTATGGGCCGAATCCAGTTACTGCACTCAGGTCCTGCCATGTAACATTCCACAGTGTTTGGCCATCATTGTTTGACTTGCATCAGTGTCTCCTAGAGATCTGGTGCAGCACCACCCAAATACAGGCCAGATGCAATCTCCTGAACATACTAAAAACAGACTTCTCTCTCTTTTATTTTATTTTTTATTTTATTTTATTTTTTTTCTTCCCAGTGGCAGAATAAATTCCTGAGACACTCAGGTCCTGAATGCACTTGATTTTTAGGTCCGTGAGGGTCAGGAACACTGGAGTAAGATTCAGACTTTCTGAGGTTATTTCTTCACTGCAGAATTATCCTGAACACCCTTTCTCTGGTCCACGTAACCCCTCCTCTACACCTGAGTTCAGTGATGCTTTCAGCCTGGGCAAGCTGGTCTGTCAGTGCCAGCCAGCCAGCACTCCACAAGGAGATTACAGACTAAACTTTTGCAGCACTACCAGTCCTTTAGTTCCTCCCCACAGGTTAATTAGAAAAATGGAAGACTCCTTCTTTCTGTGGGAAGAATTACAGACATTTATCTTGCTAGAGCACATGGCAATATGTGCAGCAACAATGGCAATACAGTGCAGCACAGGATGAGTGAGAAAGCAATCATCCAAGTCAGGTTTTGTAGCGTGGCTGCTCCCCCCCACAGTGAAGTGGATTCTGGTGATCTGAGTTAACTCTGCAGTGATGACGTCTCCTAAGACCTCCCCTCTAAGGCTTTCCAGGAACATGGACCATCACCTCATCATTTGAGGTCGACTGCTCCTCTGTCATACAACCAGGTGCAGCACCTCCCCTTTTCTTATTAACTCAGGGCATGCCCTAAGTTTTTTTCTCCAGCCTCTCCCATGGCTGATAGCCTTCCGAGAGAGGTGTCACTGCTGTCCTCCTCCCTGCCCAGCACACTCATCCTACATTCCAGGGCTCCCAGCAATGTGCACTGCAAACACAGGCCTGCAGAGCGAGGCCAGCCAGACACAGAGGATTCAAAGGGACTTGGCAGGATTGTGTATCGCTTTTCCTTTTCTCTCATTCCCTCCCTCTCAGGCTTGTCCAGGACTAGAGTTGCTAGCTGGGTTCTCCAGCCCACTCTGTGAGGTTGCCACAGAAAGGGGAGCAAGGGCAGAAAAACAAATGTCAGGGGGTTGTGCAGACTGGAGTGTAGGTGATGGGCACACACACATGCACAGGCCCTACTGATATCCTGAATTCTTTCCTGGGAGAGGGAATGCTTTCTTCTTGTATACCTTTGGTGTAGGGATTAGGTCTGAGGCTAGCCTGGGGCAATCAAAGAATAACCAGTCCTACTTCCCCCGCACTGCCAGCAAACTGAGCTCTGTATGTGTGTGTCAGAGAATGCTGATCCTCTGGGAATCTCAAAGCACTTCAGTTTTTATCAATTAGTCTTGAGGATACTTAAATCATTTAGCATGCAATTCCATTTGTAACTCTGTTCCCCTGTACTCCACTCTCCTGATGAGACTCTCTGTAAAAGGGGCTCCATTTTCCAGCTCAACAGAGAGTTTTCAGGAAGTTTTATGTCAAGACCCATTTCCAATCTAGCCACTCTTCTGTCCACTAAACAAAAAGCTGAAATGCAAACGCTTATTCAATCCTGCCTCCTTTTAAAGCCAACTTTACCTTCTCCCACACAATCCTTCTTTATACTTACAGCATCTGCATCCTGTTCCAGTGAGACTAATGCTGCAGGGACTGCTTGGAGCTAACCAGCCACTGCCTGAGCTTAGCTTTGCCCTTTGTGTATCTCCAAAAATTGATAGCTCCTGCTGTGGGGAATTTGTGGTAGCCCCACCAAGTCCATTCAACACCTCTCTGGCAACCTGCTCCCAGACCTGATGGCTGAGTTTCACACCAGCTGGGATGACTGCTTCGTTCAGTCCCCGCCTGGCGACCAGAGGAACAGGCACACATCGCCATCCTCCTGTGCAGGACACGCTGCCTACCTGTGCACGTGCAAACCTCCCCACTCTGCTCTCTTGCCTTCTTTCCCATGGAGGGAAATCTGGCAGAAGTGTCCAAGGCAGAGCCCCACTTCTCCTTCCTCTCCCTGCTGACTGCTGCTGTGTGTGTAGGGGTGTGCCTATGTACGGCCTCACAGGCTCTCAAAAAAGCAGTCTGATGGGGAAGGTAGGACTTCTGTTTTGTAATCCTGTCTCCAACCCGTCCTTCCTGGAAGGCTCTTGTCCGCCAAGGCCCCTCCATTCAGGGTTGGCTCCAAAGACCTTGGGAGGAAACCACTGCATGTCCTCGTTGAGACCACACCTGCCATTCACCCTCTCCAGACACGGGTTTTGCTGGTGCAGTCGAGTTCCCAGTCCCTGTGTACCACACGTGCCCTCTCTCCACATTCTTCCTCCATCTGTAGCCACAGCCGTAAGCCTTGCCATGAAGCTGCCCATCTGAGACCAAGGGGAGGTTGGGGGAGAGGGTGGTGCAGAAGGGGAGCAATTTTTTTTTTCTCTTTTCTTCATTTTACATCACTCACCCCAATGTACTGAGCTGACATGAAAGACAAAACGAGCACTATCTCTGTGGGGCCGTGGATGGGATGGTAGCGGCGCCTGCCTCAGTGGTGGCCAAAGCTCGGCCGCCACACGTTGGCCTGCATCCCCGTTCTGGCTGCTGAGAATTTGGGCCTGGCCACCTGAAACCGAGAGGCTGAGGCAGGGTTTGGGGAAGGCCCCAGGCTCGCCTGAACAAGCTCAGGGGAGCTCTGGTATGGCTTAGGGGACTGGCTGAGCTCCACCTGGAAGGGCGCTGGGGTAGCGGGGGCAGAAGAGGCCATTTCTGTTCTCCACACGGGCTCATCCAGCGTGGTGGCCGAGCGGGGCACAAGCACAGTGGGTGCCATGCTGCCTGAGGCCGGCGCGGGAGCCGGGGTGGAGAAGCGACGAATCTCCTGGGCCTTGGCTGTTTTCACCGGGACCTGCTTGGCTGCGGGGAAGGACGAGCCGGGCTGCGGGGCTGCCTGAGCAGGAGGCTCCTGCGTGCTGGGGCTTGGGGGATCTCCAAAACAGAACATGGCTGACTTTAGCTGGTAGGGCTGATGGCGCATGAAATCGATGACCTTGAGCCCTGATTTCTGGCCAGGTGCCTTTTTCACTTTGCTCTCTGCTTTGCTAGCCTGAGACTTGCTGGCAGCCAGAGGATAGAAAGGGGAATGCATCGGGTTGTAAGCTATCGGAGGGGGGGCCCGGATGTTGGGTGAATATTTCCAGGATGAAGGTAGAGAAGGGGAAGGAGAGGGGGTCCTGGGCTTGGACTCCGGCTTCGGCGTTGTCTCCACCACAAATTTGTCCATGCGGCTCTGGCGTTTGGCAAAGAGCTCTGCCCCCTTGCCCTTAAGCTGAGGCATGTCGTGGGCCCCATTTACCAGTCCAGCATCTTGCTGCTGAGGCTTCGGAGCCACTGGAGGTGGGGTTTTGAACTTGCGGCCAGAGGACTGCATGAAGTTGCAGGCCTCGGCGCCCAGGCTGAGGAAGTCCTCTTCGGGCCCAGACTCAAAGCCTGCCCCAGGGTGGTCACCTTTTGGCTTCTCATCCAGGTTCTGCACCAGAGACAGGAGCTCGGGGTTGGGTGAGTTCTTCTTCTTCTCCTCAATCTTACTGAACATGGGTTTCTTGTTGCCCCGCCGGCGGGCCTCCTGCAGGATGCCTGTGCGGGGAGCCGGCACGGAGATCCTCTGCTCCCTGGAGGTGAGGGGCTCGGAAGGAGGCCGTGGCGTCGCCGGTGAGGTGGCAGGAGAAGGCTGCGCTGGCAGCGGGGAGCTGCTCACCACGTGCTGCGGTGGCGCTGGGCTGATATACAAAGACGAGGAGGCTGTTCCAGGGGCTCGTGGCTGGGCCGCTGCAGAGGCCACCTCCCCTCCTGGCTTTGAGGGAGTTGATAGAAATATGGAGGCAGTGGATGTCCGGGCAGTGTTGGTGGAAGGCTTAGCCTCTGGAGCGCTTCCTCCTGCTCTCGGCTGTGATTCTACTGGTGGTGTTGGCCTTCCTGGTGCGGGAATATACAGAGATGTGGAGGAGCTCACTGCACCACGGTGTGCCGGCACTGGGGCGCTGGCAGGTGATCCTGGAGCCTGAGGCGAGAAAGGGGGAACCGCCGTGCTTTGCCCACCCAGGCTTTCAGTGGGCTTTTTGGGTGCAGATGGCCTGAAGATGACGGAGGATGTCGCTGGGCGTTGGCCAGAAAAGCCAGGGGTGAAGGGCCGTGCGGATCTGTTGAACATACTGGCTGTGCTTGCAGAGAAGGGGTCGGGGGTGCCAGGGGCTGGCTGGAAGACAGTGGGGCTGGAGGGAGCCAGGAGCGGAGCGGGCAGAGTGGCTGGCTGCTTGCTGGGCACTGGCACACCTTCCAGGTGGATGCTGAGGGGCACGCTGCTTGTCTTCTGGGGCACAGGCATCTCTCCATTCAGCATGCCCGGCTGCGGCTGCACAGCTGGGGCGAGCTGGGGGCCCTTCTCTGCAGGGACTTTCTCTACTGTGTACTTCCCAGCACGTTCCCTCTGCTGCTCAAATAAGCGGGCTCCTTTACCCGAGGCCTCACTCAAACCTTTTTGCTTCTCGTCTTTCTGCTCAGAGTCTGACTTGGACTTTTCAATGTCCAGGTAAGTGTTGTCCCAGTCTGAGTTATTCGTTAAGCTTCGGGCATCAGAGAAACCTTCCTCGTCAAATTCAGACTCACTGGTTGGAAAAACTCCGTCTTCCTCCTCGTAGGAGCGGTCTTCGTCGACACTGCCAAAGCTTACCAGTGTGTACTTCTTGGCCCTCTGCCTGCGCTTCTTGAACATCAACACCCCCTTGGAGTGGGGGTTTGGTGCATCTGTCAGCAGGGAGGCAATGGTTCTGCACTTGGTTTTGGCTTCTTTCACGTTCTTCTCTTGGATGCTCTCGTGGCGGTGGAGCTCTGCAAGAGACAAAGAGAGGCAAGCTCAGAGCTCAGCAAGAGGCTGGATGGGCAGAGATGGAGAGCGATACGGCTGTAGGTATTCAAGTGCTCATACAAGAAGGCACACTGTCACCCCCTGCCCTTCCTTTTCTTTCCAACATTTGCTCATAGTATCTTTAAGACCTACTGATACAAACCCATGTTCAGTTTTCTCTTTTCCTGCAAACACAGTCAAAAAAGTTCATACAGGTCAACTCTCCTTACTCCAAAGATACTGGAGTCACAAAGACCTCAAGAGGGACAATTGGGGCCTGAGCCCTGCAGTGAATATCTTGCAGCAACACTGTGTGTAGGGCTGTTTGCTGCTCCCTGCAGCGGCCCCACAGCAGCAGGAGGCAGGTTTTCACCCTTGCTGTAGTCCCTTGCCTGTGCCCCATGCCCAGCAAGGAAACAGAGCATTTGCTCCCAAGCAAGAATCCCAGACCTCCACGACCGATCAGCCAGGCCAGAAGGAATCCACTTACACAGGCTTGCCTGGAAAAGCCAACACCTGTTAGGACGCTGGCATGAAAGGGCGGGATAATCATTTTCCACCTGCTCTGCCAGTCCAATGGACACTAAAGCCCCAGGGAGGAACGCTGAGTTCTTTGCCCGGCATGCAGGGAAGTTGGGGTGAGCAAGATTCAACAGAAAACCAAACTCAGCTGCCCTAGGGAAAGCGGGAACTTGCCTAGAATTGGTGTTCAAGTGAGAGAAATTTGCACTACACTTGCCCTGAAAAAAATTATGCCCTGTTGAAGGTGGGGGGAAGAGAGGACAGGACAGGATAGGACAGGACGGGACAGGATAGGACAGGACAGGAGAGCTGCAGGCAGTGCTAGTGGATGGGGTTAGGTCAAGAAAGGATGGAAGCTGCTCAGTCCTCTTTGAATCTCATTTTGTTTCATCACAGAGCATCCATTCAATGGGGACCAGCTAATGTGGCAGTTATTTGCACTGGGGACAGCAGGGGAGAGGGATCTTAGCTAGGAAGGACACCAGCTTTCCTGGGGGCTGCAGATGTCCCCTAAAACCTGGCTGGGCTGCACAGTTGTGGCAGATGTCATTGTTCCATACTGCACCAGCTTAACCACAGCAGAAATAGCCTCCCTCTCCTACCCCATGCTAAAAATAAGGAGTTGGTCTGCACAGCAGTCATTCTTCCACAAAGCTTAAGATAAAGACAAAGAAAGACTCGTCTCAAGGTCTGCAGCAATTCCAGAGCACATGCTGCTGCCTTGTGATGTCAGCAAGGGGACTTCTCTGGTTTGAAATCCCCTTACTTGGGTGCTCAGTCTGCTCTTCCCCTTTGCACCCAGAAAACAAGAAAAAGCAAAATCAGTGCTGACCTGAAAAAATGGCCCACCATTTGTATTTACACTTGGAGAGTGAAGGCTGTCTTCAAAAGTTTCCTTACATACCAAATTTAAGCTGAACCAAGACGAATGTAGCGTTCAGGATTTTGTGGAGATGTAGTGCTCTTCAGCACAGTTGAGGACTTGCCCTCAAAGATCTGCTGCCCATGATGGAAACGAGTTCCAGTCCCTGAAGGTCACTCCACCTAGAAGTCTGCACGCCTGTGTCTGGGGGTTTTCACAGTGGAGGAAGTAAGAGAGATTTCTTTCTTTCTACAAGGATGCAGTCACTACACCTCACCAGGCTCCTATTTTGCTTCTAAATTTACAAGGAGGATGAGCATCACAACAGAATCTACATCAAGTCCAGACTATGTCAACTCTGCATGAGTGACTCAGAGGAAGATTTCTGGCATCAGGAGCTAACATCCAGGGAGCTACACCGTCCAAAGGGAGTGTCTGGGCAGCCCTTCTGGCAGCAGAGCACCATGAAAGGGCCCAACTCTAGCAAATGTAGTTAGAGAAAATAGAACAGTAGATGGTCTTGGTTATGCCTCAACCAATTCTTGGGCCAGGCCCAGCACTAATGTCCACGTGCAGCTTCCTTAGCAAGTTGTTCTGAACTACTCTGTGCTCTGAAGCAGCTGGAAACTGAGGCCCTCTGGGACCTGCAGCTTGCCTCTCTGTTCTGTTCTTCCTACATCCCTACTTATAAAGGCTAAAGCACATAACAAATTACACCCATTCTCCCAACAGAAAAAATGATCATGGTATTCAAGGTACAATCTCCCACAATGGTTTAAGAAAAACAGGAAAAGAGAAATCGTCCCAAAATGACTTGCTGAAGAAAAAGGATGAAGAAAAAGGAGAGTGAAAGCAGAATAGAGAAATGAACTGGGAAAAGGGAGGAGTGGAAACAGAAAAGGGGAAGAGAGGAGAGGAAAGCGAGAAGAGAAGAGAAGAGAAGAGAAGAGAAGAGAAGAGAAGAGAAGAGAAGAGAAGAGAAGAGAAGAGAAGAGAAGAGAAGAGAAGAGAAGAGAAGAGAAGAGAAGAGAGAAGAAAAAGAAAAAAAGAAAAAAAGAAAAAAAGAAAAAAAGAAAAAAAGAAAAAAAGAAAAAAAGAAAAAGAAAAAAAAAGAAAAAGAAAAGAAGAAAAAGAAAAAGAAAAAGAAAAAAAGAAAAAAAAAGTAAAAAAAAAAAGAAAAAGAAAAAAAAAGAAAAAGAAAAAGAAAAAGAAAAAGAAAAAGAAAAAGAAAAAGAAAAAGAAAAAGAAAAAGAAAAAGAAAATAAAAATAAAAATAAAAAAAGGACAGAAAAAGGAAAGAGGAGACATCTGTACCTGCATAAGGCTGATCCAAGCTTGAGAAGGCAGAGTCCAGACCTGGAGAGCTGGGCATGTCACAAAGCCCGTTTAATTCACAACTCCCCATAAACAGAGAGAGGCAATGAGAGAGAAGCAAAGCAGTTCCCTGCTGGAGCAGAACCAAAACTCTGAGGTGTCCAAGCCCTTTGCTATCAGCTTCACAAGCCTTTTAAAGCCTCTCTTTTGTCTCATAGGCATTGCTGCCTAAAGCCATGAGGTCACTTGGTCTATTTTTGCCTTCTTAGCTTCATCACTGAGCAGTGTGATGGACATTGTCACCTGGCACTTAAACAGCCTCCTTCTTTCCCCCACTCCCTGGGAGGAGAAACTCTTCTCTTTTTTTTCTTAAAATAAATTAAAATAAATCTCTACTCTTACTGCTTCAGTGGTGCAAGCTTCAGGTTAGAGGCTTTGTTTCTAAGCAGCACCTCAATGTCCTGCAAACAGACAAGGCTAACACAGTGCTCATGTCCAGGGTGGGAAACAGGGAAACCCAGCCAAGTGGAAAGCAACTTTCCTTCTCTGAAACCCTCAGAGAGCACCCAACTCCAGGCAAATACAAAGAACAAAAGAGGTTGGAGGAGAGGTTTTCTTTTCCTATGTATATCAATTGTGTTTCATGTCTGAGGAGTACCAGTCCATGGCACTGATTCCTGTTGTGTGGCAGGACTGAGGAATATTTAACAGAGGAGCATTAGGATCCTCAGTGCCTGTAGTGGTTTAGTTGAATTAAAGTGGCAAAGGCTGTTGCCTACAATAATGAAGCGTGGCTGTGCCCAGGGAGGGCGACAGAGGGTTTGGAGGCAAGGAGTGCGTTTTGGCAGTACCACGCAGCGCTCCAGCACTGGAGACTGAGCGGTGATGAGAGATGAGTTGATGACAATAAGGACTGGGGTGGACAAAGAGGAAGGGAACAAAGGGTGCTGGGAGCCTACACATCTCCACAGCTGTGGCCCTGTGAGCTGCTCAGCATCTCCCATGCTTTGGCTAGGCCTTGTAGGCCTTGTCCTACTGCCTCTTCCTGTACATGAGCAATAGGGCTTGGGAGCGAATCCCGGAGCTGCAGCTGTGGGACACTGCCCTGTGATCCTCCCATACAGCAGGCGTACAGCACTAGCAGTACCTTAGCCCAGGACTTGAGCATACCATCTCAGGTGTTAGTGAGTCTACAAAAAGGAAGGTCTGACCGTGCCTCCTAAAATCCATTAACCACTGCTGAATGCCAAGAAAGCCAATTTCCGCAGGCAGTGTTGCTGTAAGAGAGGCCTGACAGGCCTCGTACAGAGGTTTTTACAGCAAGAGCAATGAAAGCAGCTCAGTTGCTTCTTCCCTGGTTAAAACTTACACATACAGGGATACAGTCTCTTTGAAAGAGCCTTGTCAGATCTGATCCATGCAGTATGCAATTGGAAATGAAAATATAGCTCTGCAGTGCTGAAAAAATCTCTAATAAGAACATTCAAATGGAATGGATAAGAGAGTAAAGAGAAGGGTTATAAAACTCTTACATTCTGCTGGTGTGGTGGACAATTTCTATAGAAAACTTTTTGCTAATTTGTAGAGCACTCAAATTTTGTTCCTATTAAATTCTGCTGGAGTAATACACACACACACACACACAAATCATCAGGCAAAGCCTTCAAAGACTTTTCTATGTACTGATTTAACTAAATTTAATTGAAGTTGAATAAATTAAGCTACTAATTACAGTAAAGAGAAGTGCAAAAACTTTTGAAGATAAGGACTCGCTACAAGAAAGCATTGTAATGTATACTCAAGAAAACTTCTGAACAAGGAGGCTTACACAATGTCAGATACTGTTCATGTTCACTAGGAAATAAAGCTGGTAAATTTTATTACTAAAGACCAAATTCTAGAAAAGCCAATACCACAGAAAATAAGCATGTTACTAATTTCAGATTAAAAAAGCTATTCCTGTGTGATGAAATACTATTTTGTCTACTATTTTTTTCATATGGGATCAACTTCAATTTTGTTTTTCCAGCTATTTATGTTGGGCAAGGTCATTTTTCCATGGCTAATGTTGCAAATATCTCAGTAAGTCATTAGAGGATATAGACATCTCATGCTCTTCATACCTGGAGTCCTTTCAAAATAAGATTTGAATAGGTTATATTGGCCTTCCAAGTATTTCCCTGTCGAAAGCCAGCCTTTCAAGCTACAGCTAATGTTTGAATTGCAGAATATGGCAGAGGACTATATATTCATTTACTCAAAAGAAGCGTTGTAACTCTTGGGACA